ACACACACTCGCACCCCCACCCACCCAACACCACCACCACAATCACCGACCTACCATCACCATCACCACCACTAACCCGTCACTAGCACCACCACCACCGCTGCCACCGCCATCACCACCACTGACACAATTGTCGTCGCCACCACCATCGCCTGTCATCACCACCACCGCCGCCGACCCGCTACCGTCACCGCCCCCACCCACACCCTACCACCGCTACCGTTTTCTAAAAATGAAAACCGATAGAAAAATACACATCTAAACACGTTTTCTAATTTTCTAAAACTGAAAATGAAAAATGAATAAGTTTAACTAAACGCGTTTCTAAATTTTTCAATGAAAACGAAAAACGAAAATCGAAAAGGGAAAACAAAAAACGGAAAATGAAAATTGTTTTTCCATAACTAAACGCAACCTAATTTTTTTGTATTTTGGAAAAAGAGATCAATAAGATTTTTATGTCTTTTTGTCTTCTAAAACTGTTTTTTCCTCTAATGTCTTTCTACCCATAGACTTATGAGGTCAAAATACTTTTTACCAAAATACAAACACCACCTAAGTTACTTCCTTCACGATCTTTTCTTCTTCTTCTTCTTCAAGGGCGTAATGAGATGTTGCAACACAACTATGGATGAGGTAGAAGAGTTTTGCTAGCAACTAACACAACGGTTAGATTTCCTTACCATGCAAAATGCCAAACCATGAATTTTAGGGATAGCCCCATAACTCTACTTTTCACCTATTTTAGGAAAGGATTTTAAAATCAATAAAATGTAAAGTTCGGTTCTTTATCTCTTTAAATTTCATTCTAGGCTTAGACATGAAGATTAAAATTGATCCATCCTTGCCCATAACTATACCCTTTACATCCATGCTTGTAGATATAGTTCATTTAATTTGTAATTAGGTAGAAATTCATAATTTGACTGACGAGTGATTTTCTTTTTGACATGGAACATGCTAAATCGGGATACAAGATTCGCATCAACTATAATATTCGAATCGGACAACCCTTCTTATTCGGCGACAATAAAACCTTCATATTTAACTTAGGGATTGGTACTTAATTATCCTACTTTTTTTTATCTCGATTCTTATTTATTTTGATATGTGAATTATTTTTACAGTATGTATATTATATAAAATACAAAATTAACTCGGTCTGGGGCCTGTTCGATATGCGTCTGACCGAGTCAGGTCAGACATTTTTGGCTAAATCAAATTTTGACGCGACTCAAAAAGCAATATCTGATTGAGTAAGAAAAGGGAAATTGGTTGAGTGAGAAAGAAAGAAGCATTTCCAATTGTACCCTTGCCCTAGCGTAAGAAGTTTCAGCACCTCCATCCTTGTGAAGTGTCTTGAATCTCATCTGCTGGTTTGTAAGAAGAAAAAACTACTTAATCACACACACAACGTATGAACAGTTTTAGCATATGAGAGAACATGAAAAAGTTATGTTTCCTGAAACATCAAGTTGTTGGACATACATAAAGCTTTAAACTAATATGAGGATAAACGACAATAAATGGCGTTTCTGAATAAAGTGATTCAATGCATATATAAAAGAAGTTGATTCTCATTACTCTGTTCTTCAACATTCTTTATAGAAAAATAGAAGGCAGATGTGGAAATTTCTTATATTCTAGCAATTCAAGTAAGCTTCATATAGTTTTTATCTGTTTTTTGTTTCCAAAAATCCCCTTGAATAATGAAAAAGGAAATCAAGTAGTAAGGAAAAGATGCAAATGATATAAATTATCCTGTGGAAAAGATTTATTTAACTCCAAATGATATGGGGTATACCAAACTAGAGGTTTTTGCCCCTTTTCCTAGATTCCTTGAATTTTATAGTTTTAAACAGAGTGACACAAGAAGAAAGCATTAGAATCAACATTGTCATAGCACAATAAATCAACAAGATTACCTGCCCAAAATCTCCACTGCCTAAGGCACCATTTGTAATTATCGAAGCTATAGTTACAATATAGATTTCTTGTGTATGGAAAAGATTTTTGATGGAATTTATTGAAAAGTAACAGCATTTCATATCCTAACACACATTAACATACTCACTAATATCTTATATGAATTTAACATTTTAATATTTTGTAAAAAAAAAAAAAAAAAAACTAGTTTTGTTTTTGTATGAATGCAAATAACAAATTAAATTCACTTTATCGTTACCTGGTAAAAACTATTTTTATAGGTCTCCAATAAATTAACAAGCATCCAGTACGAATTATTTTTATTCAGAAGTATATATAGATAATGGCTAGCAAATGTATAGATAATGATAACAAAACAAGCATGTCACCCAAACATCATCCATTCATAAAAGACAATAAAACCAAAAATGTCTGCCAAAACACAAAGAGATCCTAAACAATGTTGTCAAAACATCGAAATAACAATAATTCAAAAATGGAAATATGATTAGACCACAATAAACCAACCAATCACAGCCTTCTTCCTCTTCTACCACCCTTTCGGCGTGTGCTATCAGTTGGAATTGGAGTCACATCCTCTGCAAAAAATTCAAGAAAAAGATTTTATTGTTAAATAAAGTACTTCCATTTTGCACTTTAAAAAAACAATACAAATAATATGTAATTACCAATTCGTCCAATTTTCATGCCAGAACGAGCAAGAGCCCTAAGGGCAGACTGGGCACCTGGACCAGGTGTCTTGGTCTTGTTGCCTCCAGTTGCCCTCAACTTTATGTGAAGAGCATTGATGCCAAGTTCCTAAAAGTTAAAAATAGAAATATGTTTAGACAAATATTCCCATGAGTTTATGAGGTAATTTTTTTTACTAATCTGTTGTTAATAAAGCTCTATATGAGAAAAATGGAGCACCTTGCATCTCTGGGAAACATCTTGTGCAGCAAGCATAGCAGCATAGGGAGATGACTCATCTCTATCAGCTTTCACCTTCATCCCACCTAGTTAAAAAGGGTATGTTAGTAAAGTAACATATTTGAAGAATATATTAACTTAACATTTTCCACCAAAAAAGATTTTTGGTTCATTCCTAGAGATTTAATTGATAGAGGGTTAATTAAAGAAACAGATCATACCAGTAATCCGAACCATGGTTTCTCTTCCAGAGATATCAGTCACATGCTGATCAAAATCAATAGATATAAATCAGTCAAACACAAACTAATCATGAAAATGTAATATTTTGTACAAAAAATATATAGAATTGAACTTACAATGAAAGTGTCATTGAAAGATGCAAAGATATAGAATTGAACTTACAATGAAAGTGTCATTGAAAGATGCAAAGATATGCGCCACACCAAATACAAGCTCTCCATCTCGGGTAGCAGGTCCAAGAGTGACATTTTCTTCCTTTGGCTCTCTAACTTTTCGCTTAGACTGTTAGAAGAATCAAGTAAAAAATTATCAGTTTGAGAACAAAGAAACAACTGAATAACAGATCAAAACAATTTTTTGCTGTTGTAAAACGCAATCGGGTTTTAAGATTCACCAAAACCAATGAACATGAAGATTCAGCTATACAACTAAGAATAGCAAGATTGTTAAATGCTAGAAAATCGGGTCGATTTTTGAGTTAGTTGGATATACGCGTAACTAGAGCATTGTTTATATGATCAAAACATAGTATCAATCGTTGAATGAAATTCCCAGCTCATTAGAGTAAAAACGGATTAGATCGGAAATTAAGTCGTACAGCTCCTAATCGAGTAAAAAACGCTACAGTTTACAGCCTAAAGGAAACAATTATAAAACAGAATCATTACAGATAGTTGAACATTCTTATGGATTGAATGTAAAACATATCTATGGTTGTAACAAATCAAGCAAATGAAAGACTCAAGAAAATATAGAACACCGAAAGAAGGAGAACGAAGAGATTACCATGGTGCAGCTTCTCTGGTTTGATTTTTCCTTCGGAGGTAGAGAGAATTCGTGTAGTGATTACAAGGCTGCGGCACCTAGGGTTTATGGCGATGTGCGTTTTATGTTGGGAAGCTTGGAGTATTTTGGGCCTATTTGAAAGCCCTTTGGCCCAAACGACGATAATAGGGTTCAGTCCACTGTTCTATTGCGTTAAAAGTGTAGTCGGTAAAAATATTTATTAAAGCAACTTATTTACTAAATTATGGTAGACATAGGAAATTTTTTTTATTTTATTAAAAACTTATTTTCAATTTTCAAAGTGTTGTATTACTGTATTTTATGTATTTTAGGTAGTAAACTTTGGTTTTAATCACATAGGAGAATAAGTGTGCAAAGCTAAGCTAGCTAGAGAACTTGAGAACAATATAAGGGGTTAAATTCGACATAGTGCCTTTCTCATAAATAATTTAATATACCTGACTTTATTCTAAATTACATATCATAAAACCTGATTTTGAACGGTTGATCGGTGACAAGATTTGAAAATTGTGTATCATATATTCATATGCATTCGGTTTGTATCTTACAAATAATATTAATGTTTTGCTCAAATCTCAATGATGGATACGAAGGTAATGTTTTAGATTAGTTAGATCATAGATATCAAATATCATAAAAACATAAGAATATTTATTTATATGTAAATAATATTAAATGGTTAGTTATTTTTCATTTTATCATATTTGTTTCTTATTGTGTTAGATATTATTAGTTATGATATTTTGATATATTGCTTTGAAAAATATGAATACACGTTATGAATAATTATAATAAGACATTAACTAATATTTGTTAAATTACATGTTATTGTTATATTAAAATTAATATTATACTCGTCTTATATAGTATCATTGACAATTCAACCCAACACTAAATTTTTTTGATCCGTTTTTTTATTAACACAGTTAATTCGGACACATCTAAGCTTCAATCCTGGATTTGTCACTGTAGATCAAAGTGCAAAACCAACAAATAAGTTCTCTCGTAACCGTTAAAATGGTAAGGGTCAATATACGGTCTACAAATGTTTTACCATTTTTTTTAAATATTTTGCAAACTACTACATATTGGTAATTATTCTAATTTTTTGTATGAATGTCGCGGATCATCCCACTCACCCTCACAATATCATCCATTATTTCCAAAGGAAAATAAAAAGTCACGGTGCTCATATTTGGCTGCTAAGTACCTCTCCAATAGAAAAAATGGATTGACCAACCCACTTCTTAAATATCATGCATCTAGAAAGGTCTTATTTGATACAGAAAGACTTTCAGGCAGAACTTGGGATAGACTTTGGTTGGGCAATGATAAGCTGATTCGTTTATGGGATGATGTTTGGCCATGTCACTCTACTCAAAGATGCATGCCATAATTTATATTCACAAGGCTCTCAACATATTTTGTGTGTTATTTGTATTAAATTATTATATGATGTAATAGAATTATTATGTGATTATATTTTTATGGAATATAGATTTTGTGGAATGCTTAACGCATTTGATTTATAACATAAAAGATTTTGTGGAATGCATATCACTATAGTTAATCAACATTACTTCAAGCCGACGATATGGTACTCCTGGAGGTCTCACCTATAAGGGTGTGATCCGCTTCAAGAAGAGGGGGAAAATTGGGTCCCCGATATATTGGACCTTTTCAGGTGATTGTCAAGGTTGGCAATGTGGCTTACAAGTTGGATCTCCATGAGGAACTCAGTCAGATTCACAACACTTTCCATGTTTCGCAGTTGCGGAAGTGTGTATTGGATGGCGAGGCAGTGGTTTACTTGGATTATATTCAGGTCGATAAGCACCTGAACTATGTTGAGAGACCAGTGGCTATTCTAGAAAGGAAGATGAAGGTCATGCGCAACAAGGAGATACCTTTGGTAAAGGTACAGTGGCAGGATCAGAGATGCTCCGAGTGGACCTGGGAGCCGGAGGCGGAGATGCGCGGGCATTGTCCTGAGTTATTCGTCGCGGCAAAATTCGAGGACGAAGTCTAGATCAAGTGGGGGAGAATTGTAACATCCCGGTGGCGAGATATTTCTAATATTAACCCTATGGTTTATTTAAATTGCATTTTGGTCTCTAAGTTCAATATTGTATGCAAAAAGAGTACTAGTGGCAGTTTCGTAAATTTGGCCTTGGGGAGTACGCCATGCGTACGTGTGTATGCTGAGCGTACTGGGGCGCGCCCTAGTACGCAGGGCATACATCAGTGTACGCGGGGGGTACTTGCCAGTTATGGAAACCCTAAGTTTTAGGGTTTGGCTTGTATTTAAACACTCTTATGGCCTCATTTCCTTCACCTCATATGCTTTCATCCCTCTTATACGTTCTTGCAACGCTATTTCCATTTTGAGAAGTCCTTTCCAAGCTTAGAGTGTGTATTTTGGTGCCTTAGAAGAAGAAGGAAGCAAGCAAGCTCGTCTTGAAGGAGTGAAACACTTGGATCTAAGATTTCTACATCATCTGCAACATTCCTAAGGTATAAAGCTTGCAACTTTATCCCTCTAGCATGTAGATCTAGATTTGGATGTCTTTATGAAGCTTTTTGGTCCCAAAATGTTAAATCTTGAGCATGGCATGTTATTGACCATTAAGTTGTCCTTTCAGACCCTGAGAAGGGTCTTAAGTCATAAAAACGGGTTTCAAATGGTTAGTTTTGCTTCATGCATCATTTAGAAGGTCTTAGTGGAATAAGACCTTGAGTTAAGCACTAATTGGACATGCTAAGTCATAAAGTTGGAGACTTTATGAGTCCTTACAGTATTTTAGCCATGGATCTGAATTATGGTCGTAAGAGCTTTATCCATTAAGCTCTTAATGGACTTTTGAACTTCAGGGAGTACGCCCCGCGTACTTTGTAACGCCCGTAGATCCGGGCTAGTCAATTTAGAGATAATAGGGGTCGAAAACGACTTTTTGAAAAAAGATTAT